TTGTTTTAAAGTGTTGGTAGCATTTTAGATATAGAGATGACTTTAAGAAATATCGGCCAAACTCAGACACTTAATGTTTATTAATTAAGACTTAAAATAAATAAATAACAATTATTTAATGTTTTATAATTAAATTATCATAATTATTATTACTATTATTATTATTCATTCATTTATTTTTCTTCAGATTAGTCCCTTATTTATCAGGGGTCGCCACAGCTGAATAAACCGCCAACTAATCCAGCATACGTTTTTATGCAGCAGATGGCCTTCCAGCTGCAACCCAGTCCGGGGAAACATTATTATTAATATTGTTATTATTATTAATATTATTATTGTAATAAAAAATTACACAAATGCACTTGGGGTAACTTATTTGGTCTATTTTTATCAAGAAATTCAGAGTCGATGCAAATCACAATTCTGTCATTAAAACTTTTTTGGTTATGCTGGTGTTTTCCCTCCAGACTTACATCATTTACTGGACAATGTGTTTATAAGGAACTAGCTTATTTGTTTGTTTATTAGTGTTTTTGAACAATTACAACAATATGCAGAAGCAAACAGCACAGACATGTGGCCGGTTTTTGGGTCCCGACTTTTGTATGCATAAAAAAGTCGGTAACACTTTATAATAACTACACACTATGAATCATTTATTAAGCATTAGCATCTAGTGAATTCATTATTTGTTAAGCATTAACTCTACATTAATAAACGTTAGTAAGCAGTTTATAACTGCAGCTGCAAATGCTCTATTCTTGACTTGTAAGCACCTATATAATGTGTTTAATAATTGTATTTTCATACTTAGCAAATGATTTATTTTTCATTACTAAATTAAGTATTGGATTATTTACAAACCAGTTGTATTTAAGAGTAGTTGAGGGATTTTAGGATCATTCAGAATGAGTTAGTAAATGATTAATAAACAATTGAAATCAACATTTCTTATCAATCAGGCATTTACTAATAGTTAACTAATATGTTAGTAAATGCTTTATTAACTCAACTTCATGCAGTTTTGTGACCTAATCTAAAGTGAGGACTATTTAAGCTTTATTTGCAATCTTTTCTAAAAAGTATTACTGTAAAGTTTGAACGTTGTTGAATAACAGGAGTGCCAAAATACAACATAAGACTGGATAAAAAACAACAATATAATAAATTAACAATATAATAAGATGCAATGTTTAAACTCTACAGTGATTTTATTTTAGATTAGGTTGCAAAGATTTATTTTTCATTTGAAGTACTTATTTGTGTATCTGTAAATGATTAGGAATGAATAATGTCATTTTTCCTGTTCATTTAACTGAGCCTTTATTTGTCATTGGGATTTATAAAGCACAAATAGTCCTCACTTTAGATTAGGTCACAAAACTAGATAAAGTTGAGTTAATAAAGCAATTATTAACATACCATTAATCATTAATAAATGCCTGAATAATAAGACATAAACATTGATTTCATTAGTTTATTAATCATTTACTAACTCATTCTGAATGATCCTAAAAACCCTCAACTACTCTTTACAAATGGTTTGTAAATAATGCAATACTTCATTTAGTAATGAAAAATAAATCATTAGCTAGGTATGAAAGTACAATTATTAAGCACATTTTAAATTTGTTTGTAAGTCAAGAATAGAGCATTTGTAGCTGCAGTTATAAACTGCTTACTAACGCTTATTAATGTAGAGCTAATGCTTAACAGAAAAGGAATTCACTACTTGCTAATGCTTAATAAATGATTTATAGTGTGTAGTTATTATAAAGTGTTACCTAATGTTGGAAACCATAGTAGGAAAAACAAATATTAGCCTACTGAAATCAATAACACGTTTCCAACATTCTTCAAAATATTTTCTATTGTGTTCAACGAAAGAAAAAGAAAGTTTGGAACAAACGCCACAAACAAAACTTGTGAAGGGCGAGTAAACTAGTTAGTTTAAGACTTTTTTAATCCCAAAGGGAAATTTACATGACACAGCAGAGCTCAGCGTAAAATAAATTGATATTAAAAAGAAAAACTGCACCCCTTCGATTCAAGCTTCGAATTAGACACTAGTACAATTCAAATTCATCATCAATCATCTAACATGATATTGATTATACAATACAATAACTATTGGTAAAAATTATGACAGAATTTTTCATTTGCAATCGAACAATGCCAATGTTTAAAACAAAAATAGCAAAACTGAAAAAGAAAACTGATTCATTGGATTTACTTAATTTATTTAATGTAAGTGGATGCAAACAATTGATATGGGCTGAATTGAAACTAATTAAGTTGAACATTACTAAATATGGTTCATTTAAATTCATCCCAAATAACTTGTTTGCAAGCACTTGCCTTAAAAAATAAAAGTAAATCCAATCTTTACAATAAGGTTCATTAGTTAATGTTAATTAATGCATTTACTAACATGAACAAACAATGAACAATACATTTACTACGGTATTTGTTCATGTTAGTTAACGTTAGTTAATGTAAATACAGTAGTTCACTGTTAGTTCATGTTAACTCATGGTGCATTAACTAATGTTAACAAGCATGGACTTAATAATGCATTAGTAAATGTTCAATTATGATTAATAAATGCTGTACATGTGTTGTTCATGATTCGTTCATGTTAGTAAATGCATTAACTGATGAACCTTATTGTAAAGTGTAACCCTTTTTTTTAGTGCAGTTTAACATGCAAAATGAAGTCAAAAGAGATTATGTGCCAACAATTACAGCTTGACAGAATGACATTAAATAAAATAAAACTCAAATGAATAATATATGAATATAAAATAGAGAGAGAAACGCAGAGCAAGGCCAGATGTGTGTGTGTGTGTGTGTGTGTGTGTGTGTGTGTGTGTGTGTGGTGAACCCGCACCTGCTGACTGAACTTCTGCCTGCGTGTAAACTCAATCCGCGGCCGTGTAAAGCCAGCGAGTGGAGAAAAGGGGGATATCAGCAAATAAAGCTCAAAACAGCAGTATGGCGCTCTTTCCCAGCCACTAAGCTAAGCCATGAATTATAGATGCCTCCTGAGGATTTTCTCTTTCCGCTCCTTCTTCCGTCTTTTCTTTTTAAAGGACAGAAAGGGATGGGGAGGAGGGAAAAAATAAAACAACAATACGCAGATAAAAACAAATAGATACGCTACAAGCCTATTTGGACTGTTATGTTGACGAGGGATGTGCTCGCAAAACACCAGAGAAACGCTGTTAGAAGCTTTTGTGTGGTTTGGAGATCATTTGAGATTACAAATGCAGGCAGGTGCCGCAAAACGCCGTCATAAAACTCCCACTGATTGTCAATGTTTATTCGATGCTAACCAAAAAAGCTTCCGGTTTCCACATTAGCCTAACAGACATGGAAAAAAGAGGAGAAAGTGCCACTAAATTGTGAAAATCGTGAGTGTGAGGTGATGTAATGCTGTTTTTTTTACTGTTAATGAATAAATTATGCGCTTGAAATTTCATCGTGATAGTAACTGCCCCATTTCTGTTGACGGCACACACGCGCACACACACACTCTCAAATGCAGGTCAGTAATAAAACCTAAAATGAACGTCTTGCAGTGCAGATTAGCAGTGTTTGTGATTCTGATTGCACTTTTTATTTACGAATAAGAGGTTGTGTTTCTATGAAGAACAGAAAATGTGCTTCGGTTATTGTAAAATGGCTAACATTTAAGAGCAGTAACGTCAACCCGAGGTCACAAAAGTACTAGCCTACATGAAAAATGTTACATGATTTACTCTTTACAACAGCAAATAACTATTTTAGAAAACTCTCAATATATTAAAACACACTGGAGTTTTTAAAACATGCCAGCAAGTCTTAAAACATGCAACCAATATGCTAGCAATATGCTGTTAAAACATGTGTTTTATGTTTAAAACATGCTAGCAAAAACAACGTATGAACATTTTATAGTTTTACTCTGTTTTCCCTGCTGAAAAAAAAAAAAAACTGGTTTTGATGCTAGTATGCTGGTCTCAGTGTTGGTCTAGCTGGTCACAATGCACTAAAACCAGCAAGACCAGCAGCAAAACCAGCATACCAGTATCAAAACATACCTTACCAACATATCGTCACCTTGGAATCATAAGGTTCTAACTGCGTTCTGAATGATTTTGAGATATTGAGCTTCAAAGTTTTTTATTCCATATGGCATTCAGTAGGCTATACGTGTGTAACATTTGTTTTTAAACAAAAAGTCTTAAAATGTAAACAACTTATAAAAAACATCCCATAATGTAAATAAGTTGTCATTTATTAAGAATATGTCAAAAACACAATTTTGACAAAAATGTCAGACCTTATAATTCTAAGGTGACAGTATGCTGTTTTTTCAGCAGGGTTATTGATGCATATAAGTCAGAGAGTTACAGTATTAAATACAAAGAATCACAAGACATCAACTGTTCAAATCTACCAGCAGAAAAAAATTAGTCATCATTTAAACAATACAATTATATAATATTGCATCAAATAAAAAAATATTATAATAATAAGATAGATAAAATAATAATATAATAGGTAAAAGTAACATTAGGCTGTACAGCAGTACAGAATAAAATATCTAAATACAAATATGCAATAGGCACAGCAGTAAAAATAAATTAATAAATAAGAAATATTTAAAAAAATTATTAAAAAAGTAAGATAGAAGAAGAAAAAATAAATAAAAACATGCATATTTTCAATGTGTGAACATTTTAAAGCTAAAATTCTGATGTCAACTAAATTATTTTGTTGTTGAAATGAACTTGTATAGTAATTTCAACTTACATCGATTAAACTGGCTAAATATTAAGTTAAACTTTGTATAACTAAAAAAAAAGGTGAAACCCAAATAACCAACGCAATCTCACATCAATTCGTAACATTTTGAATTAGTGGCTAATTAGTATGAATTTTGTACGATCTTGTTTGTACAATTTAGTAAGATTTGCTCATCCCCCAATGACGATTGGGTTTAGGGGTGGGGTTGGGTGCCACGCCTCCTTTTTAAAGTCATACATTTTTGCACAACTGAACTGACAAAGCGTAAAATACTTACGTTTTCTTATGAGATCAGGCTGGAACAACAAGTTCAAACACTTTTGTTTACATTATGTTTTGTCATCATTGTTTAACAGTTTAGTATTTTTAAAAAAGCATTATTGATTTATAATATTTTTTGGATGCTAAATGTTTTCATATTTGATGCATCACAACCTAATAAGCTGTGAAAACCAAAACACACTGAAATGCAATATCATTGAATTATTGCAACTAAAAATGTCGGCACATACCCACATTTGTTCACTCAAATGCAAGTCATGCAATGCAAAGCAGAATTTGTGTTTTTGATTGCAGACTATAAGCTGAATGCATGCGTGTGTGTGTGAGAGAGAGAGGGGAGACGACGATGGATTGAGTCTTTATCCATGCGTAAGGGCCTGTGTGTCTCTGAAGGACATAAAACAAAACGCAGCAGTGCCGCTGGGGCCTGTAGTTCGTAATTGCGCGGCTGGCATTTTAGCGATTCCTGCCGCACAGGGGTCAATTTTTCCCCAGGTCACTGACAGTGACATCATCAAACCGCTATTAACTGGCCAAACAATTTCGACTGCATTCAGGCCCAGTATCGATAACAGAGCGTATCAAACACACACGCAACTGGCCAAAATCTGCCCTCAATCTAAACCCTTCACCTTAGAGCCCAACAAACACCACTACATCCCTGCAGACCCAAAAGAGAAAAACACACACACACGGTCCTCTGTAAACAGAGAGAGAGAAAGCAAAGGAATGGGGATATCAGAGGAAGGAGACACACTTCACCGTCTGAAGATTTCGGATGAGAGTTCATGCAGTGGATCTGGACACTTAAGCCATGCTGAAATATGTATGAATGTCTCTGCTTTACATCGCTGCTTCTCAGCTGCCTTTGCTTTAAGACCCACATTTTGTGGTAAGATTCTGTTTTTACACTTTTGAGTGAATTTACTAGTGCTCGTAAAGGAATTCTATTTATAAAAGAAAATTTTGACATATTACTATAGTCTAAAATAACCATTCTTAGTCCATTCTTTATATTTTAAGACTAGCAATGTGGTTAGAAGATAGAACTTATCTAATATCGTTTTAAGACACTAAAATATGTTAATGTACTAAAACATGCTAACTATGTTAAAGCATGCTAGCAAAGTTCTAAAACAAGCTTATGTGCTAAACATGCTAGCTATGTGTTAACACGTGTTAGAATTGTTAAAAACACTAAAACATGCTATGTTTTAAGGCATGCTTGAAACCTGTTGAAATGTTAGCAATGTGTTAAAATAAAAGCAAAGATTTAAAACATGCTATTTTTGAAAGCATGTTAGCAATATGATGAAGCACACTGGAAGTTTTAAAACATACCAGCAAGCTAAGATATGTAGCCAATGTGCTAAAACATGCTAACAATATTAAAACATGCAATAATTAAATAGTGTAAAAATAACAATGTTCAGTCCATTTTTTATGTTTTAAAGATAGCAATGTGTTACAAAATAGAACTTTGCTAATATAGTTTTAACACATAGTTTTTTTTCGAAAAATATGTTAATGTACTAAAACATGGTGGAAAAAACATGCTAGCAAAGCTCTAAAAACAAGCAAATGAGGTAAACATGCCATCAAAATGCTAACGTATAAGCTAAGACAAACAACGATGTGCTGAATTATGTTAGCAGTGCTAAAACAAGCTAACCATGTTAAAACATGCTAGCAAAGTTTTGAACAAGCTAATGTGGCTAAACATGCTAGAACATGTTAGAAACAGCAAAATATGTTCCCTATGTTTAAATACATGCCAAAAAACTGTTAAGAAAATGCTAGAAATGTGGTAAAACAACAGCAGAGAACAAAATGTGCAATGTTTGAAAACAAGCTCACAATATGGACATGCTGCTAATGTCCTAATATGCTAGCAATGTGCTAAAACATGCTAAAACATGTTAACAATATTCTAAAACATACTACGTGAAGTTTATTTATAAACTAGCTTCGAGAGGGTCACGTGCTTATGATTGCTTGCGGCTGGTCCTGCATTATCCAATTTACATCAATCAGACGATTCCTAAGCCACTATAAATACCCTCAATTCCATATATAATTCTACTTTGACATACTAATATTAAAGTATGTTAGCAAAGTTCTAAAACAAGCTAATGTGCTAAACATGCTAGCTATATGTTAACACGTGTTAGAATTGTTTAAATCACTAAAACATGCTACCTATGTGTTAAGGCATGCTTGAAACTTGTTGAAATGTTAGCAATGTGTTAAAATAATAGCAAAGATTTAAAACATGCTATTTTTGAAAGCATTTTAGCAATATGATGAAGCACACTGGAAGTTTTAAAACATGCCAGCAAGCTAAGATATGTAGCCAATGTGCTAAAACATGCTAACAATGTTAAAACATGCAATAATTAAATAGTGTAAAATAACAACGTTCAGCCCATTTTTTATGTTTTAAAAATTGCAATGTGTTTAGAAAATAGAACTTTGCTAATATAGTTTTAATATTTTTTCGTAAAATATGTTAATGTACTAAAACATGGCGTAAAAAACATGCTAGCAAAGTTCTAAAAAACAAACAAATGTGGTAAACATGCTATCAACAAAACCTTACCCAAAAACTCGGAACCGTACTGTATTTTGCTTTGTTTTGTGATTCATTAGTTTCATTATGATTGAGTACAGAATATGAACAACCATTTTTTCCCCATAGGTCCAGGGCCTGAAGCAATAATATCAATGAAAACAGAATGCGGTTCACGCCTCATGCAGAGAGCCGTACAGTGGAAACAGTAGACAGAGACATGAAGCGGTGAGGTTTGTCATGGGTTTGCGACTGCTCTGTCCTGCTCCTACTGGGTGAACTGTTCTCTATTGACTTACAAGCAGGAGGCATGTGTCCAAACGCACTGCACTATTTTTCTGTAATAATAGCCAGCAGCCATGCAGCTAAATTATTAATGGGCACTATTCAATACAAACAGGTAGACACACAAACACACACACACACACACACACACACACACACACACACACACACACACACACACACACACACACACACACACACACACACACACACACACACACACACGCAGAGAGTATTTGCCACTGCTCCAGCCAGGTTTTATTTCATGCACAAGAGGTTTCCGCCCACACCTGCTCACATCACAAACACCTCTGAACGTCTGGCTGAGGATCTGAGGAAGATTTTAAACTAGAAACGAGATCCACAGTTGCAGTCAGAATTATTAGCCCCCCTGAATTATTAGAATTATTCCCCAATTTCTGTTTAACAGAGAGAGATTCTTTTTCAACACATTTCTAAGCATAATAGTTTAATAACTCATGTCTAATAACTGATTTTGTTTTATCTTTGCCTTGATGACAGCACATAATATTTCACTGGATATTTTTCAAGATGCTAGTATTGAGCTTAAAGTGACATTTAAAGGCTTAACTAGGTAAATTAGGCAGGTTAGGGTAATAAGGCAAGTTATTGTATAATGATGGTTTGTTCTGTAGACTATCGAAAACAAATATTGCTTAAGAGGGCTAAAATTATTGACCTTAAAATGGTTTAAAAAAAATAAAAACTGCTTTTATTCTAGCTGAAAAAAAACAAATAAGACTTTCTCCAGAAGAAAAAACATTATAGGAAATACTGTGAACAATTCATTGCTCAGTTAAACATCATTTGGGAAAAAATTCACAAAAGGGCTAATAGTTTTGACGTTAACTGTAAATTAATGTTTACTGACATCACTGATTTAGACCTTTGGTCATTATAATGTTGATAATATAGTTCATTTATTAATGGAGCTTTCAAAATGCACACACTTTATATTAAAGGCCATATGAACTTACACTGAAATGAATATGAAAGTATTTATGTACTTGTTCTTATGATTGATTTAATACATGCATGTAAATACTTCTGTAATCAACGTCTGTAATTACATTTATAATGTTCATTGCTTACACCTTAATCCACCCTTAAACCTCCCCATACTACCAAACCTGTCCCTAATCCTACCCTTAATATCACCATAAATGTTCTGCAATACATTATGAACACAGTATGAACATGTATTCATTTTTTTTGCCGTAAGTACCTGTAGTTAAGGCCACTTAATATAAAGTGGGATCATCAAATTAATATTAATTTGTAATGTTTTGCTGTGTGCTATTCTTCAAAACCTGTGTTGTCATCTGATGAATCATAACCTAAAACCTAAAAATACTACATGACATGCAGAATAAACTATATATTCTCAAATAGTAACATTAAAATAAATGGCATATTTAGGGGGGTGTTATCAAAGAAAGAAAGAAACAAAACTACAATGCACTTATTTAGTTCGTTTAGTATTTACTGTAATTATTGTGCATTATAATATTTTAATCTTAGTTAAATTTTTTTAATTTAATTTTTAAACAGTGGATCTCAAATAGTGCATTAAAACCTAAACATTTTGAGAAGAGACAAAAAGCTGTCAATTAAAATTATAGAATTATGGCATCTAAAAATGCAAATTACTATATAATATATATATATATATATATATATATATATATATATATATATATATATATATATATATATATATATATATATATATATATATATATATATATATATAGTAGACATACTAAGTAGGGCTGGGCAATTCGAAAAGTATTTAAAATTGACATTCAGAATCCTGATCTAATTTTCCAGATCATTTTTTTCTATTACTTTCCCTACCGTGTGTGGAGTCACGTGTCCCTTATTAATAATAATATTATTTATTTATCATTATTATTATTATTATTATTATTATTATTATTATTAGCAGTAGTAGTAGTAGTAGTATACTGTAAATTTTTTTTTATGACCAATTAGTCATGACAGCATATGTTTTTAGTTCATTGTAACTTGCTAATCTAAATTAATCATGTTCTAACTTCATTTTATAAGTGAAGCAAGCTGTTTTAAGTCTGTTTAATGTATTATAAGTTCAATGGACTCATAAGGCTAATTTGATTCAGCCTAAAAATGTAAGGAAACCAATATTTTCTTTTACTGTGTAGTAGTGGTAATGAAGTAGTAAGCATACCGCATGTTATTTACATTTAAGCACTTAGTGCTAATTTCATAATCCAGCTATGTCAGTGGCTAGCATTCATTTCAATAATAGCATTAATCACAGTATTGCTGGCTCTGTGACAAATTGCTCGTGTTCCTCTTTGTGTCAACAGAAGCAAAGAAATATCACAGTTTACTGTAGAACAACTCAGTTTTGGGTCCTAAAACTAAACCAACAGAGCTCTGAAGCACATCCCAGAATATCAGGAGGAAATGTTATAATTAGTTCCACGTTGGTACTTGACTTTAACTGTGTGACCTTTTACAAAACCGTCCACTGAAATGGAGAGTACATTCACCTAAAGGCTAAGAAATCATCCAATTTCCACAACACAGCCCAGTGCTTCTTATGCTTGATTTCTTTTTACATTCCTTTTTTTCCCAATCTGGAAATACTGCTCATTCTGTGGCGAATTGGCAGTATTTGGCAGCACAGTCAGACAAGATTAGAAGGTTAAGGGTTGTGGACTGTACCATTACATGATCAATAGGTGGGTTAGGGGCGAGAGTGAGTCCTTATGGGGCACACACACACACACACACACACACACACACACACACACACACACACACACACACACACACACACACACACACACACACACACCCACACCCTCCTCCACATCCTCGATCAATTAGCCTCTAAGTAAAGAGATCTGTCCTGCGCCGACCAGGCCACACTGTAAGAGATACGGCCCGTCCTGTCCTGTCCCGTCCGCAGAGAGAAACCCAATCCTCCCTGTGTTACTGCAGGCCTCACTGAGATAAAGGCTCTAAATAAAGAGCACTTACATCATCAGCCATGGCATCACCCGCCAACAGAGACTCCAAAACCTCTCACAAATCACACTCCATCTGCACCATGCCTCAAACACACTGCAAGTAGGGCTTTGCAAAAGGAAGTGCATTAGTGTTGTCACCATTACCAATTTTATAAAGGTTAGTATTATCGTGATTTGGAAAAGTCACTGTTAATCTTGTGAGACTGTATACTTCATTTTCTTTTCGGCTTAGTTCCTTTATTAATGTGGGGTCACCACAGCGGAATGAACCGCCAACTTATCCAGCATTTGTTTTACTCAGCGGATGCCCTTCCAGCTGCAACCTATCACTGGGAAACATCCATACACACTCAGTCACACACATACACTATGGACAATTTAGCCTACCCGCAATTACCAGGTACCGAAATTTTAAATTGTATTACTCCAGTAATCCTAAACTTTACATATATATATATATATATATATATATATATATATATATATATATATATATATTGTGGGGCAGACTGGCCATAGGGAGCACCGGGACATTTGGGTCTATCTGCCCTGCCACCGTGATTCTGGCCTGCCGTCCACACTTTTCATAAAAATCTTGCTGAAACACTGTGCTTCAAACTCTATATTATAATTTCATGTTATTATTATTATTAGTAGTAGTAGTAATAATTGAGTAGTAAGCATAATAAACAAACATGTTATTTACATTTACATGTGCAAAAGGAGTATTATCACAATTTTTTAACGGTAAAGTTTGGGCAACCAGCTGTTGGTTTTTCACCAAAAATCTCAATAAAATTCACCACAAGAGTTTTCACTAGTAGCTGATGATTAATTATAAAGCTTGTTTGGCATGCTGTCCCGGGAAAGAGCCCTGAGCTCATAAGATTCTTGAGCCTGGGGCTCCCTCGCGTTTGCAGGGCGAGAGGGAAGTTTAAGCTCAGGTAGATCTCGAGAACCCCCCCTGCTGCTTAAGGATTGCAAAGAGGTTGTGCTGCTGGTGGAATTTGACTATTGTGCTGATTTGGTTCAGTCAATTTACTTATGTCTCATGTTTTGGAATGTTGGAGGAAACCGGAGAACCTGGGGAAAACCCACACAAGGGGAGAACATGAACTTCAAACAGAAATGTCAACTGGCCTGGAACAGACTCAAACCAAAGACATTCTTGCTGTGAGGCAACTGTGCTAACCACTGGACCGCTGTGCTGCCCTATAGTGGGGAAAGAGGTGGAGATGGGGTGGAAGGGGGGATTCTTCAAGACGAAAAGGACTAAGGTAAGATGCTTTGGTTATTTAAGTTAGGAATCATCTGATTGGTGAATCATATGTTAGGTAATGCAGGGCCAGTGGTGTCAATCATAAGCATGTGATCCTCTCGAAATTAGTTTATAAATAAACTTCACATTAAACTTCAGACGGAACTCTTCTTATACAGTTAAATAATGTTAAATTAGACACTGCAAAAATAATCAAATAATGTCAATTTACGGTAATAAAAAGCTGTGGTTGCTGAAATAAAAAAAGGTAGTGATGTGAAAGAAATGTTTACATTTTAAGGTAAATTACAGCATTTCATTAATTTTCACTCTTATAATATTTCAGTGTTTGCAATAAAATCTCTCTCTTTTCTCTGTTCAGCCTAGTCTCTTTATGGGGTCACCACAGCGGAATGAACCGCCAACTTATCCAGCATATGTTTTACGCAGCGGATGCCCTTCCAGCTGCAACCTTCCTCACTGGGAAACACCCATACACACTCATTTACACATATACACTACAGACAATTTAGCTTACCCAATTTACCTATAGCACATGTCTTTTTAAATAACTTTGGTTAAAAAATAACCTAAGTGACAATGAGTGAAATAATGCTTCATTTTCATTCAACAGATATATTAATATAAAAACAAAACAACACACTAGATTGTGACCTGTACATGTTAAAATACTTAATATCATTCATGCATTTATTTTCTTTTCAGCTTAGTCCCTTTATTAATTTGGGGTCACCACAGCGGAATGAACTGCCAAGTTATCCAGCATATGTTTTACGCAGCGGATGCTCTTCCAGCTGCAACC